TTTCGCAACCTTTGCATACCAGCTGTGACCTGTCGCCTGACATCGTGCCAGAAATGCCAAAATCGCGGGAATGGAAGAGGACTTGCACCTCACGGGAAATCGCTATACATGGCTCCTGACTATCTTCTATATATCCTACACCCTGTTTGAGTTTTTGGCTTTAATGTGGAAGATAATGCCACCTCATAGGTGGGCAGCTATCACAGTAATGACTTGGTATGTACAGACCCATAGCATTAAGGTACCTCGCTCGGTATTTCTGACTGATGCAGGGGCATTGTTGCGACCTGCCAAGCCGCAGCACAGAACTGGGGCGGGATGATGGCTCTGCGTTTCCTGCTCGGCATGTCCGAAGCAGCCTTTGGTCCCGGGTCACCCTATCTGCTTTCCTTCTTTTATCGTCGTCAAGAGCTCGGCCTTCGCTGCGGTTTGTTCTTGTCAGCTGCGCCTCTAGCCAATACATTTGCGGGCGCTCTTGCATATGGTATCACCTCCGGGCATGCAAAGATCGCCAATTGGCGCTTGCTTTTTCTGGTTGAAGGCAGCCCCTCGCTTGTGGCAGCCTTCTTAGCATGGTTCTACTTGCCTGATCACCCCGCGTCAGCCCGTTTCTTGACCGAAGAAGAGAAAGAGGTGGCGCGCGCCCGGTCGCTTCGACGCAGCGGTGAAAGCGAGCGGGTGACCGGCATTAACTGGAAGGAACTGTGGCAGACCTTGCTGGATGCGAAGGCCTGGCTCACTGCGGTATGTTACGGTGGCTCTTTCAATCAAGTGGTATGCTGACAATGATGGTATAGTTGATGTACTTCAGTTGCAATGTGAGCTTTTCCTCGCTGCCCGTCTTTCTTCCCACAATCTTGGAAGACATGGGCTTCACTGCGATTAATGCTCAAGGCCTGACGGCGCCGCCCTACTTCGCTTCATTCCTCGTTACGATCGCCACTACCTGGCTGGCTGATCGGCTTCAGCAGCGAGGCTTGGTGATTGCCTTGTCGTCGCTTGTTGGTGCGATTGGATACGTGCTGCTTGCGACCTGCACCTCCGTTGGGGTGCGCTACTTTGGAGTGTTCCTGGCAGCAGTGGGGGTCTTCCCTTCGATCGCCAATATCCTCCCATGGGTTCTGAGTATGTATAACACTAGCTATGTATTGATCATATGACTAATATCTGAATGTAGATAACCAAGGCTCAGATACTCGCCGGGGTATGGGTATTGTTATATTGAACATCATCGGCCAATGCGGGCCTTTCTTGGGAACCAATGTCTTCCCAGGGAGTGACGCACCTCGCTATATCCGAGGCCAGTCAATTTGCGCGGCCTTCATGTTCTTCACCGTGATCCTGGCATTGGCTCTACGGACACTGCTTGTTTGGGAAAACCGTCAATTGGAAAAGAAGTATGGCACTGCAGCCGAGAGGGCTGCCCAGGCAACCACGAAGGGAGATCTTACTCTAGGGGAGGAGAATTATGGAGCAGATTACCGATATGTGCTGTAGTTGCTGGGTGTTTCTGTGCGACAGAGCTGCTATGATGATATGACTTATGATGACGTGATGATGTATTCGGAACAAGGTATATAGAATACAGACTATGATATGCACTCCATGCAAGGAAACGTGCTATTATTGTCGAAGTCAGCCAGGTGTTGGTGTTGTTCAGTACTTGCGCGTAGCTAAATCTCACCTCATTCCTCTCTACCACTGACCTTAGTCTTATTACCCAAATATATAGAATGTATTGCTGGAGATCTTAGCTATTGTGCCCAGCTACTAGTACAAGATGTATGGCTACGACCAACTCAATCATAGATATTGATCATAGTCCGAATGTGCTCTGGATTGGTTTCTACTTTGCAGAGACTTTTTGGCTGGAAACGCTCCAGTTAGCAAGAATTATGCCAGGGGTATGAACAGTCCCTGTACATCATGCTCTGGCGCATATGGGGCTCTCGTGGCAGGAACCTTGTCATCCTCGTTTCAGCACAGATGGTTCATGTGGGCCTGGATATTCCTCTGGGGATTGGTAACTACTATATGTACTTGGCCTTCTTACCCGCAATATATAAAGTACAATTAAACAATGTGAAATAGTGAGCCCGTAGAAAAAGCACTATTTAAGTAGATAGCCATTTGATCCCTAGGTCTTTTGTGCCCACTAGTAGTGCTGCCTATTTGGGAAGCACTAGCATGATAATTGGAGGGGTAGTACCAATACCACGGAAATATATCGACGTCACAACCAGACCTTCCCCCACTGAACTTATCGAACCACAACTTTGATTTTGTGCATAGTTCTACTGCACTTGGAGGCAAAGGCCATCCTTTTCTCCCATAAAATTATTCAGTGAGCCAACAGTCAATTTACTACCATCGATCATGTGCATCGCTCAACGACAAGCGCTAATCTGGGCGCACGCTTACCACCCCACCAGTATAAAAATGCCTTGATTAGGCTAGTAACTCTCTCAACCATCTGTTGCATATATACCCTTCCACTACATACATACATCCGCAGTAACTGCGTCTCACATCCAAAATGGCGAACGCTTCTACTGCTGAAAGTCGCAACCTCTACGGCATCGTGGACATGGGCAGGTGAGTAGTATACAATCTACCCAGAAACCCTTCCTTTCCATAACCACGTAACGATAACACCAAACTAACAAACAACCACAGCAATGGCATCCGCTTCTCCATAACAGACGTCTCTCCCCACGCCGCGCGAATCATGCCCATCCTCTTCCAAGACCGAGCCGGCATCTCCCTCTACGACGCGCAATTCTCCGGCCCCACGCGGGGTCCAATCTCACCCCACATCACCGAGCAAGTTGTCGACCGACTGGCCCAATTCCAACTCACCTGCGACGATTTCCAAGTCCCCAAGGAGAACATCTACGTCCTAGCTACGGAAGCGACCCGGACGGCCTCGAACTCTGAGGAATTCAGAGCGCGAATCAAAGAACGCACCGGGTGGGAAGTCGCTCTCCTCTCGAAGGAAGATGAAGGGCGCATCGGGGCATTAGGTATCGCGAGCAGCTCTGCCTCCGTGGCAGGCATCGCCATGGACCTCGGTGGCGGAAGCACACAGATTACATGGGTGATGGAGACAGAGGGCACCGTTACGACGAGTCCGAAGGGCTCGTTCAGTTTCCCGTATGGAGCTGCGGCGTTGACGAAACGGTTAGAGGAGGCTCAGAAGCAGGGAAAAGATGCTGTGAAGGAGCTGAAAAGCGAGATGACCCGGAATTTCCAGGACGCATATCGCCAGCTGGATGTCCCAGACGCGCTGGTAGAAATGGCTCGCAGTCGAGGCAGATTCGACCTCTATCTCTGCGGCGGCGGGTTCCGCGGCTGGGGATACGTCCTGATGAAGCAGAGCAAAGTCAATCCGTATCCGATCCCCATCATCAACGGATTCCGCGTCAAGAGAGAGGACTTCCACGACACAGTCTCCGTCCTAGACGTCGTCTCCGACACGGACGAGAAGATCTTCGGCGTATCAAAACGCCGCGCCTCCCAGATCCCCGCTGTGGCCGTTCTCGTGAACGTGATCATGGACGCATTACCAGAGATCACTCACATCCAGTTCTGTCAAGGCGGAGTCCGCGAAGGATTCCTTTTCAACCGACTACCCAGCGAAGTGCGCGCCCAGGACCCCCTCCTCGCAGCAACGGCACCCTACGCACCCCCCTCAGCAACCGCAATCAAAGACCTCCTCCAGTCCGCACTACCCCCTTCAACCTCACCCATCGCCTCAATCCACCCTCCACCATCCTTCACCACGAACCTAATCGCAGCCATAGCCAACCTCCTCTACGCCCACTCCCAAGTCCCCCGCGAATCCCGCTCCGCAGCAGCCCTCCACAGCACAACGACGGGTCTCCTCTCCTCCACGAACTGTCTCTCCCACGTCGAACGAGCCCTCATTGCCCTTGTGCTCTGTGAGCGCTGGACCGGGGACCTAGCGCCCATGGACCAGGCGTACCATAAGCAACTGAGTCGGTGTGTCACGGCGCAGGAGGTCTGGTGGGCTCAATATCTGGGGAGAGTAGCTGTTGTGGTCGGGGACGTGTATCCCGCTGGGAGGGTTGTGGAAGGGCAGTGGCGGATCCGGATTGAGACGGGGTGGGAGGAGATCGTGAAGAAGGGGGAGAGGTGTGATTTATTGAGGGTGAAGGTGCGGAGGAATGAGGGGGTTACTGCTGTGCTAGAGGATGTGTTGCGGGAGAGGACGGAGAAGGTTGAGAAGATTGGGAAGAGGAAGAATTGGGTGAAGGAGTATGGGGTCAGGGTTGGGGTGAGTATTTGCTAGTTGAGCTTTTGAGCAGTATCTACGGACTATAGAGGGGTAGCTTGGAGGGGTAAAATTGACTGCTGTGATATAGTGGCAGGCATAGGTTTCGGTGTTTGATATCCAGGGTTCTTTGAGCTGTTACTACGAAATACAAGGGAGATCTTTTGGTCTACAGTGCTGCAGCTCTACTCTTCGTAAGACTACAAGAGAGCTGGGTGGGGGGATGCGAGAGCTCATCTCACGTCATCCCTGGGCATCCTCTGAAACGAAGAAGACGCTCAGACTCAGCCTGTCAACTGCTGGCCCGCGCATTCCAAGCCATCAGTGCGAGCCTGTCAGCCTCGCCACTGTGACTCACTCCGTGACGGATACCCCCAGCACTCTCCCCAGTCTACAGGCGGACATGTCCAGCACATCCGTAGCCAGAGGCCAGAAAAAACGATGATTGAGAGACTGAACAGCGATGGTATTCATCCCAAACAAAATCCGATAAACTCGAAGAACATGAAACAATCATCTGGGAAGGTCATTCCATTTGAAAACCCGTTTCCACACACACAAGGTGAGTCGATAAATAGCTTTAAAAAAAACATCACTAAACGGGCCCCCCGCGCTTGAAAAGAGAGAAAAAGCGAAGGGATGGCCTCCTCCCTCCCTCTTTCCAAGCGCCTTTTGTGATGAGATACGCATCACATGGTTTTGCTCAGCCCCTCAATTTCCCATCACGCCAATATGAAACCCGGGGAATCGTTCGTCGTTTTGCGGTTGTTCATCGAAGATTTGGCCGTTTACTGGGTGGGGTTGGCGTTCATCTGTAGATAGTAGAAAAATATAAATGTAAGCCGTACTGTACTGAACCTCTATTCCAGACTCTCTTATTCGTGCTGTGTCGAATATTGAATCTGTGCCAGGTCGGTTTGGTTCATTCATACCTTGCGCTTGCCACCGGTCAGGGTAACGTTGACGAAACGGCGAGTGTAGATGAGTCTCTTGCGGGCGCGGCCCTTGGGGCTCTTGGGCTTCTCCTGCTTCTCGACCTTGGGGGTGGCGGCCTTGACCTTACCGGCACGAGCGAGCTATGATTTGCGAAGTTATGTTAGATGGATGGTGTCTTGTGGTGTTTGGATATCGTCGATGGACGAGGAGGCGAGGCTTACCGATCCGTGAACCTGGAATCAAGAGCATGTTAGTTTATTTTTCCATCATTTCATCAAAATCATCATTTTCAGCAGAGGGATTTATCTCAGTTGAACATACCTTACCCATCTTGGCGATTAAATCTGACCTTCAGATACAACAAGGAGGGATTCTGTCGATGGCGTTTGTCGGGGTTGCGAGCAAAGGTCGATGGGTGTGGAATTTTCGCTGTTTCGCTGCGAGGTCACGCGTTTGTGCGGTGGCGCCCCACCGGGCTTCTATCCGCTGCCCCCTTCGGTTAGCCGGTTACATAAGATTGCTGTGCTGGGGTGCTGAGTAATACGGCCTTATGCGGTGGATAGATTCCCGAACTAGTTAGTGCGGACTTCCACAAGGCTCACATTTGTCAGTGGCCTCAGGAATCAAGTCAACAAGACTTGGGTTCGCTATTGAAAATGCAAGATGCTGCGTTCGCAAGCATACTTCATTGTATAGCAGAATATTGATCCAGATTACCTTTTCCACTTTCATGAGGAGATAGCAGGGTATTTTTGACGACGCACACATCATCCTCCGCTTATGACGCACCCCGACACTGATCTTACCCTGTTGAAGCTGTCCGGGAGGTCAACTCGAAATACTGTTTGGTCAACCGCCATCATGGTCAATGACGAACTCCGGCGTTGGTGGCTGCTACCACTGCAATATAACAGTCTTATTAGTTCGGTACGACACTGTAGCTCGATATGCTTTGAAAGGACGCAAGTACTAGCTGCCTTTGATATTCAGAAGTCAGAATAAAACAGCCTATTTTAGAGTCGACCAGACTAGGCAGCTATTAGGGAAATGCGACCTGCCATCAGACTGTTGGCTTACTTCGGCTTTGGCAAGTCTCCCGATTTCGTCGTCTGACCACTTTGGAGTGGCATCACTAAAGGGATCTAGTCCGACAACCAGACATTGTGTGATATAGAAAGGGATTTTGAAGGACGGAAAGGAAATGCTGTCTTCAACATAGTAGTATACTTGTCGACATAAATAAGCTATCACACAATGGTCAAGAAAATTGGGGTGCTGCGAAAAGTGCTCCTTCCTTGGTCAGCAATAGGCCTGCCGTTCTAGGCAATTGATGCTATACTCTACGCTCTTTAATCAGGAAAGGATGGTCGATTGGACTCTCTATGTGGCCTATACATAGTGATTAAAAGCCGGGATTACATAAACGTTAGCCCTTATCAACAACAGCCTCTGTAATAAAGAACACACCAATGACATGATCAAAGAATTCACTGTGGTCAAGAAGATCGAGAGTTGTCTGCATCGATAGGCCCAGTCCTAGAGAGCAGACACTTCAACTAATGGAGGAGCTATGCATCTGTTCCTTTTCCTTCAAGGCATCAAGGGGCTGTATAGCTACTCATTGAATTTATTGATCCATACGAGCAAAATAACTTATATTGTGTCCCTTAATAAGCAAGGTAGACTGTCCCTCCAGTTAGCAAAGGTGATGATGTTCGTGGGATACCTGCTCTGCGAACATCTTGCCACTTCGAGCACTAGCAGGCATCCCCAGCCCCTATCTGACCCATTACCATTCTGTCCAATATGCCGGCTTCATATGGTCTACTCGTTTGGACCATCATGACTAGAGTTTCTTGACTACTCGATTGGCGTCTAGACTTCTCGAAGGTTATCCGTAATGTATGGTCACTGGGTCTACCGGATCCAGACCCAGACAGTGTTGGGCTTGTCCCCCATACCAAACTCGTCAAGGTGTGTGTCCAGACGTCAACCCATCATGCAATTCTACTACGCGTCGGTGCCTAATTGATGGAGCAGGTTAGTGACGGATTGAGTCGGAGATTCTAGTGATGGGAGGAGACTTTTCTCGGAGGCCGCAAATAACTCCTGAGACTACACCACACACCATAGAGTAAGGTTTCAATTCGAGCCAGATATGCACGAGATTGGAAGCGTGGGGCTTGCTGGTGCAGACTTGAACACACTGACTCCAAGACTGCGTATGAGTCATGGTCCTGGTATGCCAGTGCAGAGGCCGTTGATGTCGTGTAACAGCTCTCCAAAGGCCGATAGCACGCTTTCCATGATACCTTAGGCAAGCAGTCTGGCCGGATTTACCCAGACGGGAACCAGATATTACTCCAATGATGAGTAGACGGACACTACGTATGCGGAGTTGACTGCCTTTACAAATCACTAGGACTGGACAGCCCCCTGATGTTATCAACAGCAGACCGTGCAAGCTGCGTAGTGGTTCACATCACATGAACGCTCTACCATGGGATCGCAATAGGATCCGACAAATTTGCAAGTTAGTGGATGCCTTACAAAGTGTCCCAACAGCCTCGAGATTGGTCCTCAATAATGCCTAACTTTGGCGTGAAGCGACTGGCACTTTCCTTACCTTGTGATCCCTCTCGAACCAGGGTGAACATGTTTGGCAAGGGGCTAGCAATACAACGAGCTGCAGGATTTCCGTCGAGATCCGGCGATATGTCGACCTGCTATTGCGTAGAGTACTTTTTGTACTTTTATTCCATCGGTGTGGAGCGGAAATCCGATATGTCCCCGGCACATATCCACAACCACGTTGCATTGCGTCGCAACGGCGCTGGCATGTGCGTACTGCGTAGGCAGAAATTTCCGACGTATCGCGAGCAGTGACGAACTGATCCACTGCAAGGTACGTGGTATGCCCGGGATGCGAGTTGCTTGTTCCTGTCTATCCGAGCGGGGGTACCTGGCAGTCGGTGAGCAGGCAGCCCAATGCCGGTTGTCATTGGGTGCAGCGGAGGGAATCTGAAACGCAGGTGGATCGGCGGTGACGGGGAGTTGAGTTCGTTTGAGAATCGCGGTGGAGGGAGGGCGATGCTTGAGATCAGTGGTGGATGAGAATGCGATTAGGTTTGGCTATGATTATAGTGTAGTTCGTGGGATGGAATTGGTAGTGCCATGTGTTTTGCTTGATTTTGTCGGTTTGAGGCAGACTTGTCGATCGCGAGGGGAAGAGAGAAGGATTGACCGGAACAGTGCAGTAAGTATTGCATCGTATGGTATCTGAAATATTTCAAGTATATTATAACTTTTCAATATTGAAACTGCAAAAAGGAAGTAGTAATATGTCAGCTGATGTGTTGCATTGTTTGCCTTTGCAGCAGATGAAATCGGAGAGTAATCCAGAGAGATGAGAACAATCATTGTTGGCTTTTCTTGCGATCGCAGGTGGAGACTGCCGGTATGCTGTGATCTGATCAATAATGACTGACAGACCGACTCGAAGTCGAGTCCACTCCTTGTCTGCAATGATCATTCAATTCTCCCCCTCCTCTTCCCACACTTTGCTTTTGCTGTTCCTGGTTTCAGGTGACTGATCTTCTTCATTTCTGCAACAGACTGAGCCAGTCACAGTCGCATTCTCACCTACACCCATTTTCAACACAACAATCAGTTGACTCCTAAATTCTAAGTCCTTTCAATATTCAGCTCATAACCATCATACTATCAACCTGATCGATCGGTGGAGTCTGATGCCCTTGCGCCACCGTCATTAGTTCCTTGCTGAGACGCTCCACGGCCGGGACGCATCACCATCCCCATCAGCCAGTGAGGGAGGGGCCCTTCAGGATGGATCGCGGCCGTCAAGCATCAACACTATTAGCTGACTAGTGATGCTTACATCTGGAGCCAATAGTATACCGACTTTATCCCCCCAAAATTCGGCGAATCATTCGATTCTTTGCTTATTCCGTGCCTGACGCCATTGCCTTGATGAAACAAACACAATCCAGCGAATAAAGACCCGACTCACGGCGGAGGTCGCTGCCTACAGCCCTTTCTCCGCCCGACAGTGATAATGGTGGCTTTGACGCCACGCAACTCCCAAACGTCAGACGGGACAAAAATATCCCACCCCGGAGAAAGGGCTGGGTAGAAGGAAAGGGAATCCCTTCGAAGGGGGGGTAGATGCCAATTTGCCAAGCAGTAGAACCTCCCTTTGATGTAGCTCGTCTACGGTTTCTGCATCTTTTCTGCAGAATGGTACACTTGACGACAGGTCAACTATGGTTGCGGTGTGGTTCTTAGGGCACAGAAATTATCGGCATTACTTGAGGGGAACAAGGCATGGCGCCCAGACGAGGGGAATGCCTTTGAGTCTGGACTGCAGTGGGGGGCGCGCAGTGGGCGTTCATCCCGGCCAGATGGTGAACTAAACTGCCACTAAACTAGTGCTGCCCTAAAGGCGCGGTCTGGCCGCTGCCAGACGGTTGGACGACATGACCCAGCACAGAACCGGATTGCTGAGGGTGATTCTGTCGAGAGAAAAGCTGCACAAAAGTACAAGATAAATGAAGCTGTTGGGTAGACATACACCTCCATCCAAAGTAGGGGGAATCAGTCGGATACATCCACTGGACCGATCAGCTGCAGGTATCCGCACCACTGCAGGAACAAGCACCGCAAGGTCCCCCCCGGACGCTTGCTGTCCAGTCGCTGCCAACCGCCAGGCACACGGGCTGAATAATGGGCGTCAATATTTCTCTGTCCCACTGTCCCTGAGCGACACACGGTACCCGCCCGATGACGTTCCATGGGTCGGCCGCGGTGAGGATGCAGGGGGTCAGGAACGCTCCGACGCAGGCAATCAGAGGGGGTCGTCGAACAATGGAAAAAGCAACGACTAGTGACTAGTCGGACTTTACTCATGCAAAGAGCAAAAAACCTTCCTCCCTGTGGAGACCTGATTGGTCGGAACCGAATGGGCGCCTAGAAAAAGCACCCAGCCCTAAGTTGTTCTGCAACTGCCACTGCCCGTTGTCGGGCGTCTATATAACCGCCCTCTTTCCCCTCCCTGTCTCCTACTCGAAACTCTCTTCGTCACCTAGATCTTCCTCTCTCACCTCCCCAGCCTTTCCTTCTTTGCACCTGTGCCGTGCACGGTCAAGCCATTCCTTCATTCTTTGAACATATTGCCTGACTCCTAGTAGTCTAGCAGCCACTCTTTGCAAGAGCGCTTTGAGAGAACCGGTATTCTCATACTCAAAAGTTATACATACACATCACTTCTCTGCGAACAAAACCGAACAAAACCCGAAGAACATATACACCATGGTCTCCTTCAAGTCTCTTCTGACCGCCACCACCCTGGCCACCGCCGTTCTGGCCATCCCTCATGGCGGCCACGGCCATGGCAGCCACAAGCACCGCTCCACCCACGTCGCCTCCAAGCGCGGCTCTTCCTCCAAGCGTGGCGCTGCCTACAACTCTGTCTCCAGCGTCCACACGCTGACCTCCGGCTCCTCCGGCAACGGCACCGTCTCCTGGGCCTATGACTGGAATATGTACGCCGACGGCAGCCTTCCCAGCAACGTCGAATACGTGCCCATGCTGTGGGGCAGCAAGATGTTTGGAGGTTGGTTGACCGCCATCGAGACTGCCCTTGACAGCGGTAGCAATTACATCATGGGATTCAACGAGCCCGACGCCTCCTCCCAAGCCTCGATGACCGCTTCCGACGCCGCCAGCTCCTACAAGAAGTACATCACTCCTTACTCTGGCAAGGCTAAGCTCGTTACCCCTGCCGTCACCAGCAGCACCACCGAAGGCGAGGGTCTCAGCTGGATGAAGTCCTTCCTGTCCGAATGCAGCGAGTGCGACATGTCAGTGCTGGCAGTCCACTGGTACGGCACCTCGGCCGATGAGTTCAAGTCCTTCGTGCAGGAGGCCATGCAGGTGGCGGACGACAACGGACTGGACGAGACCTGGGTGACGGAGTTTGCCCTTACCAGCGGCGAGTCGGCCGGCAGCGATGAGAGTTCAGCGGCGGACTTCCTTGACGAAGTTTTGCCGTGGTTGGATAGCCAGAGTGGCGTGGGACGGTATGCGTATTACATGTGTGCAGACGGCTATCTGCTCAGCGGGGAAGAGTTGAGCTCCAGTGGAAAGGTCTACGTTGCATAGACAACTACAACTACCTTGATTCCATTTGGATCTGCTTTATCTTGCCTTTTATCCCGTGATACCTTTTGACTTGTTTTTATTTTACCATTCTTATGCCATCCCTCCTCGAAAGGAAGAGATGAGCATCCCATTTTACCCACCCATTTTACTTCAATACAATACAATTCCAATTGAAGTCAAATTAAATTAAAACCCAAGTAACAACTTTTCCACAAAAATTGTAACAAATAAAATCATAATCACATTCACGACCCCAACCCCGACCGAACCTCCAAATTAAAATCCACATACATCCTCCTAAACACACTAACCCGTCCCCGTTCCACGGCTTCCCCGACCCAGAAAGCAGCAACATTGGTCCTTGCTCCCTCCTTTCCCCGTTGACTTCTACACATCCATGGACATCAACCCCCGTGGTGAATCTTCATTGGCTGGAAGGCTATTTTTGGGTTTCCAGCTTTCTATCTCATCTGGTTTTGTTCATGTTGATTATCATGAGGTTTTACCATGTTGGGTTTGGTCTGGGCTCGCTTGGCTTTTTTTTTTTCTTTCTTTTTTTTTGCTTTCCCTTGTGATGCGATTCAATTTAAGTAATTGATTGATTGATCGTGAGATAAGTAGTTTAGTGGTTGTGGGGTTTGGGTTTAGTTGATTCCGTTCCAATGGCTCGGGAAATTGGTTTTCTTGGTGAGATTTATTGTGATATGTCCCGAGAGTCTGGATTTTTTGTTGCGTGGGCTTGGCTGGCTTGGCTGCTTGGCTGGGTATGTTCTGTTGTTCTTGCTTGGGATTGTTAGACGAGAGATGAAAATGAAGTAGTAGGTTCGAGGTAATAGTGTTGAATAGATTGCGGAAAGCAAATGGCGCAGATGTTGGATAGTTGGGTTATTACTGATCCGTGCAGTTACTAGGACTTGACTGACTGACTGACTGACTAGGTTTGGTTGGGTTACTAAGCCGCTGGATTAGCTATGATTCATTCACGTGATGTAGGTCTAGTTGATGCAGAGTAGGAAGGATAGAATAATAAAAAATATTAAAATGTCATAGATAAGGAATTAAATAGTGAAGAATTATGTTGTAAAGCTTACCGATCTGACATGAATTCCTCGATCGAAGGGGTAAGTATGTAATGTTTCATCAAGAACAATGAATCTGCGGCATCCTCTGACTCGAGGAAACGACTCACCGTGCCCTTGAGAATAAGTCAATATCGCAATCTGGATGACCTTTAATTGTTCTATCGGGAATCTGCACTGGGAAATTATTGGTATCCCTCTTCAAATAATCTGTCTGATTCGCAGCCCTACGTCCGGGCTAACCTACAATGTCCTGGATATGGCTATGGTATTGCTGATCGTAGACATACGGCAGACGATTCATTTCACGGCCTGTATCTGGAAAGAATCAAGCTGAACTAATTATGAACGACAATTGCTTTCTTCTTGATGTTGTAGTACTTGTGTATCTTTCCATGTAAATGAGCAACACCATATATACAAGTCTCCGTTTTCTGGTGCCATTTAGAAGCTTTATCGCCTGTTTGGGAACTAACCGAACAATGGAAAAACCGCTATCAAGCACAATGTCAGGAGTTGGTAGGGAGCTAGAATAGGAGCTTCTCGAGTAGGGTAAATGTCATGATTAGATAGTTCCCATCAACCCATATTTCATCACTTCATTCACAAAAGAAAAAGATCAAAGTTTAGACTTGGCCCAATCATCAAAATCGCACTGCAGAACCGTAGTCAAGCGTGAAAACGAGTAATAAAATCCCTATAACAGGAGTTAGATTTCTCATCTACAACATATAACAGAGGGTTAGGAAGCTACTAACCTGAAGGCTGATGATCTCCACAATTTCTCTATCGGAGAATACACCCTTAACGCTCTTCCACAGTTCATCACTAACTTCAGGCTGCTGGATAATTGTTTCCACGAAGCTGAGCAGGATGAGATCTTTCTCGCTGAATCCCGCCGCCCCATTGTCAAGCTTCCTGCCGATGAAATAGTCCTTTTCCTTCGCGGATGCTTTGAGCGCCGCTTGCTGCTGTTTGGTCACACCTGCCTTCAAGGATACGGGAAGATGATGGGTCCATTCGTAGGTTGAGTTGAACTTTGAGGTTGTCAACATAATTACCAATTCACGGTCTCTGGATGAGAGTGATAAGTGCTTGAATTGGGCATTTCCTACCCCTGCCCAGTGATCAACGGTTGCTGTGCTGTAGGATAGAAGTTTCATGATGTTGAGAGTAGGATGCGATTTGGCATGCTGTTTAGGGGACTCTGGATAGGGTAGTCGGGCCATGGTGTTTCTTTTTGGAGAGTAGTTAGGCTATAGAATGGTTGAGATAGATTCGTGTAATAACCAGATGTTTTATTGATTCTGTGCGGGGATATTGTCATATATTACGGTTGATGTTGATGTTGATTAGCGATCTTTGTTGAATCTATGACGACAAATCCGTAAGTGCCTCCTGGGCCGAGGGCCGAGCAATCGTCGACCCCGAGGTCGTGGAGGTATAACATGGCGCCGAAATCGAATGACATTCAACTATGCCAACGAATGGAGCATAAAAGAACACGAACACAATTTCTTCCAGATGATTTGTGGGTTTAATTGAATGTAGTGGTGTTTGGCAGTCACGATGACGGATACAATGGAAGAGTTGCCGCATTGACAAACTTAGCTACTACTTAACCATTACGTGCCAATTCGGAGATATGGTGCTAATATAAGTAGGGTTTCTGAACCGCAACAACCAGTTGCGTCATTTCTGCATCCAAGTGTACGTGAATTCGTATCATGACAAGTGGTTAGGTAGATCAGTAGTCAGTGGATGTCTCTGTGTATGTGGACATCCACTCAATTCATATTATAATAATTGGTTGTGGTTAGTTGAAAATGTATCGAGTGCTGTATCTCATCATCCCTCGTGTCTATTATACATTCCTGAACGCCGGTCCGTCCGTCCACCCACCCATCCAGCCAGCCAGCCTTTTTTGTTCTCTTTTATTTTTCTTTTGTTTCCTGGTTATAATGTACATTGGTGTTACCCGTCTGGGCCTGTGGCTTCGCCCATTTCGGTGTCTTCAGGTTCCGGTTCCGGGCCATCTTTGTGTCCGTTCGGTTGTTCGAGACTGTGGTCGTGGTTTGCTTCTGGTAGACCGTTTGGTTTCTCGACTTCCATGTCCCCATTCGGTTGTTGATCCGAGTCTCCATTCACTCCGTCTCCGTTTATATGGGGAGGAGTGTTGGCGGTGGAGGTGTTGGTGGTTTCTGCTGCTTCTGCTTCTGCATTCGCTTCCTCCCATACCCGCACGGTCCCGTCTAACCCGCAGCTCACCATCAGCCGCGACTCCTCCAGCGTGCATGTGTCCACTCCCAGCACCACCCCGTTGTGGCCCTCCAGACGCTGCAGCACTTGCTTGCTGACCACGTCCCAGCACAGCACAGCTCCGTCCTCGCTGCCGCTAACGACGAACGCATACCGCGGTCCGCCCCGTTCCCCATATACCCCGAATCCGCCCTGCAGACTGTATTTCTTATTGCCATGGCCCTGGTACGTCTTGATGCACCGCCCCTCGACGTAGTCCCACAGTCGCACGCAGTCGTCCAGCGTCCACGCCAACACGTACTTTCCGTTCGGGGAGAACTTGACCGCCGTCACGGGCGGGTTGTCTTCGTGCACCAGCGTCCGCAGACACTGGCCCGTCGCGGTATCCCAGATTCGAATCAGTCCGTCCGTCGCGCACGAGGCAATGAGGGTGCCGTCCCAGACGACGTCGATGCCTCCGACCGGGTCGGAGTGTGCGGGCAGCGACCGCATCACTCGTGCTGATCGCACATCCCATAGGAATACCGCTTCATCGTAGGATCCGCTCACGAGCATGTTGCCTTTGGGCGAGAATGCTATCTGGTAGACGTAGTTGTGGTGGCCGACGAAGGGGATCGGGTGCGCCTTGCCCTGTTGCAATGTATTAGTTCCCAAAAATAATACCAGAGTTATTCGCAACGTGAACCCACCGTCAATACATTCCACAGGCGAATCGTCTTGTCGTCTGATCCCGACGCAATGGTCGCTCCGTCCGGACTCCACGAGATAGTCGAGATGCCTGCCAGATGACCCTCGAATGTATGGATCAACCGACCCGTCACTGTATCCCATACCTTGACAGCCCCGTCCGCCCCTTGTAACACTGTCAGCGACCCAGTCGATATGAAAGTTGAGGGAAAAGGGAAGGAGCATAAAACCCACCTCCGCTAGCAATCATCGAAGAGTCCGGCGAGAACCGTACTGCCGAGACTCCTCGAATATGACCCCGTAGTAAATACTTCTGGTGATAAGTCACCTTGTCCGGTTTTGGCGGCGGCGGCGGCGGTTGCGGCACCGGGGTGGGCGACCGTTCGCCAAACGACTGATCAACAGCTACATCACCGTCGGCGGCGGTTGCGGTCTCTTCGACATCGCCCTCGGCGCCGCCGTCTTCCTGCTCCGGATCAATTTCGGGGTCGAGTCCAGGCTCGGGAGCCACGTCTTCCTCCTCTTCTTCCGCCTCGTCGTGGTCGTGGTCGAGATATCGCTCCGAGGACGGCTCCGCGCTTGGCTCGGAGGGCGAGGACGGACTGCGACCGCGATTCCTCGCCGACCAGTACTCCTTCGCGTCGACAGCCAGCTCGTCGGGGCTCTCGGAGCCACTGAAGCTGCGCGAGCGGCGATATGGGCGCTGTGGGGGATATGCCTTCTGGATGGACCAGCTGGCGCGGCGGCGTTCGGCCTCGTCGTGGTCGGAGCCCGCGGCCAGCTCGTCGGACGAGGATTCTACGGGCGAATGGATGAAGCCATTCTGGGGCTTGGGAGTGGTATCAAGGCGACGTCGCTTGGAGCGATGCATGGAGCCATCCATGAGAAGGCAGAAAAACGGCGCGAGAGAATTGTGGGAAAATAGGGAGAGAGAGGGAGAAAAAGCAGAAAGCAGTGATCGCGATGATTTCTTTCATCGCCGCGACTTTCATCCCTCGTGACAATCAGGCGCTTTTGGGAAGGCGGTAAGCCCCTTTCCCCAGAATGTGCCTCAAGGCGGTGAGCACCATGATTTCATCGTTTTTCGTTACTTTGGCTTCATCTCCACCTCATCTATATCCCCCTTAATCATCCATAATCATCTTCCTTCATTCTTTCAATTACCCATATTCTCTCTCCTATTATTCTTACTGTAATCTTCGATATGCCCCTCTAATTCAACAATACTACATCATCCCACAATGTCTGCCACCTCCGAACCCCCCTCTACCTCCCCCTCTTCAACCCCCACCCACATCCGCATCTTCACCCTAAACTGCTGGGGTCTCAAATACATCGCTAAACACCGAAACGCACGTCTCGCTGAAATTGGCCGCCAGCTCGCAATTGCCTCTCCGCCGCCCGAAATCGTCGGTCTTCAAGAATGCTGGACACAACAAGACTACGAATCCATCCGTCAGCAGACCCGTCACATCCTCCCCTACGGCAAGTTCTACTTTGGCGGTATCTGGGGCGCCGGTCTCGCCATTCTCTCCAAATGGCCCATCGAAGAAAGTAGCATGTTCGCATACCCGCTCAACGGGCGTCCCACGGCCTTCTTCCGCGGCGACTGGTACGTCGGGAAAGGCGTGGCATGTGCGCGCGTCCGCTTCGGACCCGGAGTCCAAGACGTCGCGGAGGTGTTCTGCACGCATCTTCACGCCCCCTACGAGCGAGAACCCAACGATTCATATATCTGTCATCGGACGGCACAGGCCTGGGAAATCGCGAAGCTTATGCGCGGGGCTGCGGAGCGCGGACATCTAGTCATCGGTCTGGGCGACTTCAACATGCTGCCATCATCTTTCGCGCATCAATTGATCCAGGCACACAGCCCCGTCCGGGATGCATGGCAGGTCCTGCATCCGGATTCGTCGGTTGGCGCGGCCATTGACCCCGTCGAGCAGAAACGGGGCAAGCCCATACCTTCAGCGGAATACAACCTCACGGAGAACGGCGCCACCTGCGATGGAAAGTTCAATACCTGGCGGTGGTCCAAAGAAGACCAGAAGCGCCTCGAGAAAGGTCAAGACATCGTCGTCGACAAGGATGCCCCATGTCCCAAAGGCAAACGCCTCGATTACATCTTCGTCGGAGACGGCAACTACCCCCCATTATACCCGGCACCGCGCTGGTCCGTCGAATCCACCCGACTGTCAATGACAGAGCGCCACCCCACCCTCCGCTGCTCCCTGAGCGACCACTTCGCCGTCGAGGCAGTTATCACTCGCATCCCATCAGAGAAAGCCGCCAACGACACCAGTATTACCCACCATTCTCCAGCCCCCAACGCCGCCCTCACACCTGATACCTACGACCGCATCATCGACATGATCCACACATACGTCCGCCGTGAACGGTCTCAACGACGCTGGCGCGTAGCGCATTTCTTGGCCTCGGTGATAATATCCATTGGCTGCTTCATTGGGGTCTGGTGGACAGGCGACCATCTACCATACGTAGCATTCATTTTGGTTCTGGTGAGCACGTTGAGCTTTGGAGCGGGAATCTTGGATGGCTTGATTGGCGGGTTGTTTATGTCGAGTGAGTTGCGCGCGTTGAAGGAGTTTGAGTGGGAGGTTAGGAATGCGAAGATGATTGCTGAGGCGGTTGGGGGGAAGGGGGAGAAGGTGGAGTAGGAGGGTACTTTTTGGAAATTTAGGGAAAATTGGGTATAGTAAGCTTTGTATATGTATAGTATGTAAATTTGAGAAGGGAATCAAATGGTGTATATGCTTGGATGGCAGTATGGGTAGGTCATATCCTAAAGTAGTAGTTGGGTCTAGGCTTTCCTTATTCAGTTTGTGCATCTTATGCATGTATGCATGCATTCCTTTATGTGCCGGGGCATTGGCTTAGCGCTAAGCAAGTATCCGGACCGATGTCTATCTACGCAGGTCTACTACCCTACAATTCATAGAATATTGATAGACAAGTAATAGTAATATTGATCATAAAGAGTGTCGTTAACAAGCCAGCGACATCATCATCATCCTCGTGTATTGCAATTTAGTCCCACCACGTGCAGAATCTTCCACATAACGAGTGAAGAAAAACAAATTCCATGTGATCTCTCACACTCAAATGTAAGTTAACAGAGACATTTTACTCAGCGCACTCGCGCTTACGCTCGTCAAAGATCTGCAGCGCCTCCTCGGCAGCCTTGACACCACTCAGGACCATAGCACCAAAGGTAGGACCCATGCGGTTGAAGCCATCGATCTCCGACAGCTCCATACCACCGATAATCAGACCCTTGGTGACCTCGCGGGTGTTCTTGACGATGGCGTCCTCGGCCGAGTTCATGTCGAGGCCGCGCATACCGCCCAGCTTGTCGACACTGTTCATGGAGACGAGTCTCTTGGCTGAGAAGGCACCGAAGGGACCGTCGTGACCGGTGGTACTGATGATCACGGGGGCGTTGATGGTGTTGGGGTCCATGCAGGAGTGGTCGTCGTGGTGAAGGGTGACCAGGGTCCAGTTGGTGACCACACCGGCAATGCGGACATCCTTGGGGTCGCCGCTAGCAGCGGGACGAGTGATCAGGTCTTCCACGCTGGTGGCGTTGAAGAGCTTGACGTTGGGGAAGGAGAGAACCTTGGACAACAGGGTCGAGGTGAATAGCGAGGCGTGCTTCACCACGACGTAGTTGGGGTTCGCAAGGTCTTCCTCGTAGGGCACGCCCAGCTCGTTCAGGAAGACCTCGGCGGGACGACGCATGACCATGGCGGAGAAGAGCTGGCCACCGAGCCAGGCACCACCACCTATGATGAGTCAGTATGTTGGTTTAGCTGGATAAGTGGGTGAGGGTTTGTTGGAGAACGAACCAGGAGAGACATTGGCCTCGACAATGGCAATCTTCAAGTCCGGACGGGCCTTGGCGAGAACATACGCGGTGCTCAAACCGCAAGAACCAGCACCCACAATGACGATGTCACTCTCAGCGTACTTGTCCAGATCCTGGAAGTAACGTCTGGTCATAGCACGCGAGACCTGGCTCTCACGGATGGGAGCGAACTTGAAGTTGTCCCACTTGCCAGCGAAGTGGTCAAGCAGCTGGGTCTGGGAAGAGCCAGTGACGGGAGCGGCCTCCGGGACCACCACGTTGGACTTGATGCCAGTGGGGACCACGGTGGGCTCGAAGATGGCAGCGGGAGGAGACATGTTGCTTTAGGTGTGTGGACTGGGAATTGTTAGCCATTCCATCAAGCGGGGGGATACGAGGGAAGGCATGATCCTTTCGCTGGTATTATCCAGATCAAGTTTAACCGTATAATCTCAGAACGAACCCAGAGCCGGTGGCAGGCAGCAATGCTGCACTGCCACTGGATAGGAACGAACACCGGTCCACGCCCAAGATTTACCTGAGATACCTGATCATTGAGAGAGTCCAGCCAAAGGCATTGCATGACTTCCATCGTGTGTAATAAAGTATTGAGATGAGACCCCCCGGGAAGGGGGTCAATGCAGGTGGAATTACATTGCACGGAAGGTTTCTAGTTCGAGGTTAGTATGGTCTATACAGGGGATACAAACATGGGAGAGGATGACTTGTGATGAAAGTCGATGAAGACTTGAGTGGAAGTAGTAGATGGTAGATGGTTGTTGAGATGATGGAAGAATGAGAAGAGGAAGAAGAAGTAGAAGCGGGGGGAAAGGAGGGGCAGGTATAAGTACCACGGGAGGGGGGGGGGGATGAAAGTCACGGTACGTAATGGAGATGACAGCTGCCAATTGCTTAATTGCTTGACTTGCACACAACTCTCCGATGTGCGGGGATTATTGCATCCTGCTTTTCTTCGTGGAGCTGGAGCTCTGTGGTCCGTGAGGGATCCAGCGACTTGCTCCGATCCTGCCCGCGTAGGTTTCAACCCGGTGAACCTTTGCAGCAACCGTGTGAAGTCATGGAGGGTGACGATCATACTACTAGTGATACTACGATGTGGATGCGCAATGTCAATTGGCTTCACCCCGATTCGCTGGCTTGATTCCACCGTGTTAACCACTGTGAGCCGTTGCTCGCTAGCTGGCTGCTGTCTAGTGTCTACAGGGAACGGTTATGCAATAGAGACACATGGGAGCTATGAAGCCGTAGCCCATCATGAACTATCAACTCTGTATAAAGATGGATGGAAATAATCTAGATTAATGCAATTTCCCCTTCACAACCTTACTGTGTATAAGCTATGGCTGTAGCGAAAGCTTAAATCGTCTCAGCAGATCACCAATGACAGTATGGGGGTTAGTACCAGGGCTAGAGTTATCCCCACGGCACAAAAGCTCCCTGTGAGTCACACACGGCCGACCTTGTTTCGAATCGAAGTCTACATGTAGATCAATGCCTAGCTTAATGACCAAGACAAAATTTCACGATTCAGATGATAATCCACACTGCCAAACCATTACTACAGACAGCATCAACTGACTGATCCATATCAAGATCAAGCAAAAGGCATAGAATATATAGTATCAACCACCATCGTCCAGACAAAACACCTCTGCATCGTAGATACATATATGTAAACTATCTTCAAGAATGAACAATCCGATCAAATGCATGCAAAGTCATCAGGAGCTTTTGGCACGGGTCATCAAGCCAAGTCAGGATACAACACACCACAACACAACACAACACAACACACCAATGCTGAACACAGAACACGATAACTTCTTAGGCCCCCTCTCTAGATCGTCTCCCACCCGCCGTTATTGATGTCCGCCTCCAGCTTCCGGCTGATGGTAGCTGGGATGCTGTGCGACAACCACACGTCCCGGAGCAGTCGGTCGTAGCGCTTCTGGTTAAGGATCAGCTGCCGGTTGCGCCGGAGACCCGGATCGACCTCGCCGTGTCGGTCAAGGTACGGTGCGTAGTGCCATGATCCATTGCGGTTGTGCAAGTAGAGCACAGTGCACTTGCGAATGTTGATGAACAAACCAATATTCTTGCCACATCTACTTGCTGTTAGCAGAGTTCTCCAGATACTTCAGAAAGGGGGTGGAAATGGACTTACTTTTGAACGTGCTGGTTGCATCCGCCCAGCTTGTTCTCCATGCAGCATACTGCCTGCGAGCAGAAGATATCTCCACAGAAGAGACAGATGCTGGGATCACTCAGCTCCTTCTTCGACTTGGGGCACCGCCGCCGGTTGGCCTCTTCGATCAAACTGTCGTAGTACTTGGGGAGTCCGACCAGCTCGAAAATGGCCGGGTGAGGAAGGCTCGGCCACAGCTTAAGGTCGCCCATCCTGACGCCCGACCGAGTCGCATTCCAGTGGAAGATCCATCCGGAGATTATAGCATCGAACGGCTTACCACTCTCCCGAGCCGGGTTGATCGATGCAAAGACTTCGTCAACGGACGGCAGGTGAAGGAGATTGGTCAGACTGTCCAGCTCCGACGCATTCGCGTCGTGAGAACCAGTGTTAGGGAATTCGACGCCGTGCTGAACATGGAGTAGGATGACCGCCTTGCGCAGGAAAGCCAATGCGTAGCTGGAGATGAGACGCCTCAGCGAGATCACCACATCCGGAGTTGCACTTTCCACGCCGTCCTTGACGTAGCCAGTTTCAGCAGGGAACGATGATCCCACCGCGTGGCCTACCGAGTTGGATTTCAATTCGGTGACGATCGAGTGGAAGAAGTGCCGGCTCGCTTCGTATCGCGGATCTGTCTGACTCAACTCAGACAGATACTGGTCGTCGCGATGCTGCGCCAGCTCCTCCTTCAGACCCTTCGGGCAGAGGATGTAGGTGGCCGCAACCTTGACAATTTCGGCCACGTAGCACACTTGAATCAAGTGGCGAATGTCAACAGACAGCACCGGCAGCAGGGATAGCGAACACTCGGCCAGGAAGACAAAAGTATCCTTAGCCAGTAGCGGTTCAATCTCACGCATCTCGTTTACCAGTGCGCTGCCACTCAGGCAGGGATGGCCGATGAAGAGCTGACATATCTTATGGCGATGAAGCTCTTGAAATTCGTCCCCGCTGTGAGTATGAGGGCCATTAGAATTGTATACGCACCCGACGGCAGCGTACGACAAGGCACTTTCAGCCAAGACTCGGAGGTGCGTCAGAGTCAGCTGTGGGATCTTTTCCAACAAAGTCGTCCCTGGCTCTGACTCAACTCCGCGCTGAGAGATCTCAGTAGCAGCAATGCTGAAGCCGAAACTCTGGAACAAGGAGTCAGTGTGCACCAGGTCATTGGTGTCTGTGGTGTCCGGATGATGATTGAAGGTGGATGGGATGTGGTTCATCCGGATAGTCTGCTTCAGTCGCTTGTAGATCTGTATGAGCACAGACATGGGGCTTCCGCTTTGGGCCGAAGCTTCCTGCAGCGGACTTGTAGTTGAGTTCTCGTCCTGTGAGGGGAAGAGGCCAGGCATCGGCATCCTCGCTGTTGGTATATAGTGAGTCGCGGAGGGCAGAGACGACGACGTTGACGACGACTGCGACGACATGAGCTGATCAACCTTAGTTGCCAGTGGAGGAACCAAGGCCTTCGACAGGTAATTGCTGAATAGATCCTGGTAAAGCTGTAGCTGCACATTGTTGTTCTCCGCGAGCACTGCGTAATTGTACGATTGCGAGAGGACCGACTTCAACTCTGTATTGATAAAATCATCAAACGGCACAGAAGTATTCAGAGCCCCCGGGTAGGATTCCTCTTTACCCTTCCAAACAATAGGGAGGAAGGCATTTCCTAGGGCCTTGCACAGCGGACAGACAAATTCCTTGCTCAGCAAACGCTCAGGGTGGTTCCGCGCGATTTGTTGCGAGTGGCGGCGCTGAGTAGCGAGGAAGTAGGCATCAAAACAAGAGTAGTGCATGATATGCCCACAACCGGTGGTGACCGGTCCACGAAGGGTGTGCGTGGCCTTGAAACCTTTACTCAATCCAACCTTCTCGCTAATCACTTCGCCACCGGTAGAGTCCAGTCGGCGAACCGTCGTGCGATTCTCTCCTGCGACTCCAAAAGGACGGATGTGCTCCGCAGACTTATCCAAGCTCGTCGGTGTCCTGATCACTTCCCTGATCCAGTCAGGATCGTTGATGTCTGTCAGGCGCGTGATACTGCTGTCCTGGATCAAGGCGAATGTGCCGTAGAGTCGGGAGTCATTTGTTTCCTCCTGGCAGAGAATGCAAGTACCACTAGGGTACTTCCATAGTTTAGTCTCGGGAGCAGTCTCGGTTTCGGATTCGAGGTCGCTAAAGTCCTCCTCTCCCCAGTCAATTGCACCTTGGCTGTTAAGGAAGTTCTGTTGCTGTTGCTGGAATTGAGCCATAACCCTCGCTTGTCTTTCGAGGGCCTGCTTCTTCTTCAGTTCCTTCTCATTGTCGGTGTCAATGGCAGGGGAGCTTGTGTCGACCCGATCGAACGGGAACTTGAGAGAGGCAGTGGCGGAGGCGTAGGCCTGAGGGCGCTTCTGCCAAAGCCTTTTCAGGATATGACGGATCTTGGGCCCGCAGGCAGAGAATTCACTCATGACAGAGATCTTCTCCAGAAGACCAACAATAGTTAATGATCCAGCCAGAGTCGTTTCCTTTGCCTTGTGCAAGGCGTGCGACACGAATGACGGTGAGGAGCCATCATCCTCGCTACTATCTTCAAGAGACGCCGCAAGGATGAGGTGGAGGACAACCTGGAGGAAGGTCTCCACACGGGTAGGCGGGATGTTGGGAGTACGCTCTTTCGAGGAGACCACGTAGTCCAAGCAGTGGTGGACTATTTGAGCAAACACCAGCGTCCTTGTGAACTTAGGTAGTTCCGAGTATGCGCCAGAAGTGATAGGGCGCAGCTTCGGCTCAAAGACAATGTCTGATGCCTTCTTCCCAGATTTCTTGGCTATCCACTCCCTATAGATGCTCTCTGCTTCGTCCCGCTGGTTCTTGCTGTAGTGAGCACTATAAGGATCAATCAAGTCGATATATTCCGGCTTAAGTTCGAAAGTTCCTGTATCATTCAAGCCTTCAGGAGGACGGAATCCCGCAACGTCGTCCAAAACATCCTGGAACAGGTCCGAGTCAAGCAGCTTGTCGCTGAGGCGTGTAGACAAGTCCGAGAAAGAAAGCGGCTTGAAGCACAGAACATGCGCAATATCGCGGCTCATGTTCTCGCGCGTTGCGGCTTCGCTGTCGTCGACAGCGGTGAGAGAGGTCCGGTCTGTGAGCAGAATGACCAGCAGATGGACGAACTCCTCGGCCACGTCGATGATCTGGCTGTCTTCATATCCAGGGCGTGGCATGTAATCTCTGGTCATCCAGTCCATCATACCGAACCGGTCTGCGATAGACGCAAGCACCCGGCTCGGGTCACAGGTCACCAGTGCAGTTTGCAGGAGGAAGATATCGCGATAGTAGGCAAAGTCGCGAGACGACACTCCACGATACTGAGACATCTGATGCCGAAGGCTGAGTCCGTTACGCACCCACATGCCCGCTTTCATCTGCGCGAGCCAGGCGCAGACCCGGAGAGGATAATCGAACATGCAGAGGAGCAGATCCTCAGAAGTCAGCTGACTATCGTGAATGTATTTCTCATTTGCGGCATGAGCAGCACTCATGAGCACATCCCGCATCAGAGCACTGTTCACATTGCGGCCACACTCCAGCAGCCACGACAGCGTGTAGTGCAGGGCATGGTGGAAGCTCATCGAACCACTTTCAACAACAAAGTCTACAACACGGTAACGGGGGACTCGTTGCTGATCGACTTCGAAGTCAAGGGGAGGTAAAGTCTTGAACCGCACATAGTTTTTGATCTCCGCCTGCTCAAATCTCTTGCGCTCAATTCCCGTAGAATGTACCATTGCAGAGATGGTTGCCGTCCGGATTGCTCGCAATAGCTTCACGCCACCATCAATCTCGGGGTTGCGGAATGCCTCGCAGAACTGCCGGCAGAGCCGGTTGATCTCCCGCATGAGAATCGAGGCACTGATCCAGGCGTCGGTCTCGTACTCGACATGCTCTCCCACGGCACGTACGTTAGGACAGATACCCTGGGAAAGCTTGACGAGGTCCAAGAATTGAGCGAGGTAAGGTTCTTCACTCCGTACGCGGTTCTGTACATACTCTGACTGCAAGAGGTATCTTAGATCAAGGAAGAAATGGTACAGACGTCTGTTGGTCACGGAACCGGCATCGAAGGCCAGAGTTGCGTTCGGATTTACTTCGTAAGGTTCACCAACTTGTCGCGTAGTCAGGAATGTATATAGGATGGCCATGACCTTGGTGAGGAAGTTCCCGCGCAGCACGATCTCCTCAGTGATAGAGGGCGTTGTTAGAAGTTGGAGGGAAAGGTTGACAATTGAATGATCCGGTTCGCGGTCTGCAATCAGGTACAACTGCGCGAGCGCCGTATATAGAGCCGACAGGCGTAGACCCATGATTCGCTTGAACTGGGGAACATTGACCACGGTACCAATGTAAAGATCGCGCAGATCGGTACGGGTCTTCTTCCACAGTCGGAGATCGAACAGGATCATCCAGTCCAGGCGTGTACGCTGCCAGAGATCCTCGTATGGGGAGACATGCTCCCCGAAGGCCGGGACGGAAGGTCGGACTTGCCAATGACTAGGGGTCTTTGCAGGTGATGGTTTTACCACACCAGATGGTGTCTTGGGGATGGCAACATACGACATGGGAGGAAGTTGGCATGTGTCATTCGAGTTCGGCTCGCGCTCGGGAGATTGCGGCGGGGCTTGATTCTCTGTGGCTGGCTGCTCTTCTTGTTCCTGTCGTTCCTGTTGTTGCTCAGTGTTGGGAGACATCGACCGCCGACCCAGTTGGATAATGGCTTGAGCCATCTCGAAAGCGTCATCCGTGTTGCCCATCACCATATCTTCCTCATCCGCCATATCCTCTATTTCAGCTTGCTCACGAAGTAAAGCAATCTGCCTATCCATATCCTCATCCTCATCGTCAGCATCATCATGGGTCTCAACAAATTCTTCGTCTCCATCCCCGTCGCCAACTTGTTCATTATCATTATCAATATCCTCATCATCCTCGTCGTCATCCTCTTCTGCAGCCAAAACCACCTGCCCCTGTGGGGACACCGTGAGCATAACCGTGCGGTACGGAGCATTTTCAGACCTCTGATGGTCATCAATGCCCTTCATTCCGATATCGGCATTCGCGGCATTGCTGCGTTGTTGCCATGGACTAAGCAGCGCCTCGCAAATGGTGTGGCGTAGAATCTCGTTATCGTCCATGATACTGCACCCCGAGATATCTGCAAGCCACTCGACGATGGTCCCGCACATTTGCTCGCGGAACGTGTCGCGGGCAGACCGGATTGTAACCGTGACCTTAATCTGTTCGATGATTTTCGACACAGCCAGCAGCCTCTGCAGATCCTTGGAGTATTTGACTACACTCCTCCCAATATCGTTCGTCTCATGGGCCCTATCGTTGCCGAAACGATCCCGTTCCCGACAAGCCCGGCTGACCTGATGAGCAACATCCCGGATGGTATGTTTCTCATCGTTCCAAAGAGCAAGAGCAAACTCCGGCTCATCCTCCGGTAGATCTCCATCGCCATACCAACCGGGACGTAGCCGGGACGCCTCTTCATCCTGTCTGATCCCCTCCTCTGTTTTCGGGAGCCGCAACTGCTCGGGAGAACAAGAAATGACATCACAGAAATAATCCAGCACGCCGCTAATAGTCGTTCGAATGCTATCGACCAGATCATGCGGAAGCTGAGTCTGAGCCCTTTGCTTGCCCTTTTTATCCTCGCTGTCGGTATGGATCGCACAGAACAACGGTAGTCGCCATGCCTCCTCATCTCCGCAGTCACAGCAGCCGCAGTTTCCCGAGGACAAAGAAATCTGGTACTGGTGGCCGGTGTGATCAGAAGCGTCGAAGCAGCGACTACAGAGCACGCAGGTATCATCCGCAGCACAGGTGATACACCGATAAGTAGCCTCGCCGGCCCTGAAAATGTGACCACATCGCTTTCCCCGCGCCGCTTCGGTATATTCTGCTCCTTCTTTTGCTCCCTGAGCTTCCGCTAGTTTCCAAACACCTTTCGGGGGCCCGTTGGGAAAAAGTAGTCGGAGATATTCCTCGTTGAAGCCGGTTAAAGAGTGGAAGAGCAGCTCAAGTAGGTCTTGCTCTGCATTGAATCCATATCGATAGTTGTGTGCAGAGGGGAGCCGTAGAAGGCCTTGCCCGAGTACCATCTCCTTATCCGTGAAACTCATTTTATCGCCTTTGCGCTTGGATCGCGACACTCATCGGGCTGTCCGAGAAGTGAGGGGATGGTGAGGGTCGGATGGAGTGGGAGCTCCGTGGGGCGGGCTTGGGATCTCCCAGTCTGCGATCGCTCGGCCTGTGATCGAGCGTATGAGTGGCGGCAAGTATGTTGCAATAAGCCACGGAGTGAAACGGCGTTGAAATCGGTCGGGTTTACTGGGGCGGTAAATCCCAAGTAAGGTTGAGGGGAGGGGAAAAAATCTAGATCAGTTAAGAAGCTTAGTTATCGAGCGATAGCAGGCACGGCGATGTCACCGTGGGGGGGAAAGTGGTGGGAAGTCGGGTTTTATGGTATCCAGCGGCACGCACCAGTAGCCCGTTGATAACATGAGCGGAACTTTCCTATTCTCTCATTCACATAGGACCCCTGATGGAGATGTCGTTCCGAAAGCAAAAAGCGATGACACTGTATTAGACAATATGTGGAAGAGAAGAGGAGTGTCCAAGAGTTGGTTCGCCCATGACATCGAGGTACTGCAAACACCGGGGCTTGGCGCCACCGCGATTCTCATCCACGGCCTGTGAACGCCCGGTTGGCTTTCCCCCGCCCAGCTGGGCAACATCCGTGTGTTGCTTGACTACTGACCTGGCCTACGGGGTAGGATGACCTACATATGCATACCCTGCTCCTGGATGGACTGCTGAAAAACAAAAGTTACAGGTTATTGCGAATCTATCTCGTACAAACACCCTGGATTATAGCACTTCTCCTTCCCGGCACTCGGCTATAGTATAACATGGGAATGGATATTTTGAACCCCCTAGCACCACTTCTATTCTTTCATATGTAACACGGCGAGTATTGTACCCGAATCTACTCATCGTCCTCATCGTCGGCCTTGTTGAGGTACTGGTGCTTGATGTCCTTCCATTGGCGCTGCAGTAGTGAAACGAACCCGTCAGTATAACCCATGCGGAAAGGTCGTGGGAGGGAAGAAACGTACGCCGCGGTTGAAAGAATCCCAGACCTTGTTGGAGGCAGTGTCGAAGGTCCTATTCCACAGATAATTGTTTAGCGATTGTCGCACCCCCGAAAGATCCCGATAACAGAAACGTACAGCTCGAAGGCAAAGGCACTGGCGAAGATGGTGGTCAGGTAGACCGCGTTACGGCGGATCAGGCCCCTGTAATTCGTTCAAAGATTTCCAATTAGCAAGACCATTCCATGACGGGCGACAAGTATCGATCGGATATCCGGAGTGAAAGGGGAGACATGCTGGTAGATAGCGGAAGCGAACTGGAACGGGAACACCCTGGAGTTAGCCATTGAACTGTGACAAAACCCATGTAAAGAAAACACTTACAGCGCCGGCCATTGTGACGGTAATGGATAGAGAGATAGAGGGGGAAGGGAGCGGGGAAAGACAGCAAGGCAGAGAGGATGGGCGAGATGAGGTTGAAGATTCCAGTCAGGATCGAGTTCGGTTTGGCGGCCGCGAAAAGCAACAGCGGGAATCACCGGGTCGCTGATTGGCCAGTCGGAACACCACCTGCGCAGAGCCTCCGACTGGCCGCCTGGAGATTCATCAACCTTACGTCGACTCGTCCACAAATTCAATGCGCTGTCGGGCTTGACTGGTGAAAAACTGTGGCAACACACACCGGTATTTAATTCCAACGCATTCACCCTCGAGACTTAAATCAGGGGGAGATTCTAACCGTGGAACTACTTGTCTTTCCCCTCAGGCCACACTGACATTTTCCCACCCGACCGACTCTCAACACCCCGCCTAACAAAAACAAAATTATGGCCTCCAACAAGCCTGGTGCGGTCAGTTCCTCCGGGATCACAACGAACGAATCCACAGGGGAACGCTACATTCCTTCATCTGTCCGTGCCGACGGTTCCAAGCGACGAGAGATCCGTGTCCGACCGGGATACCGCCCTCCTGAGGATGTGGAACTATACAAAACCCGTGCGGCAGAGGCCTGGAAGAATCGCGGAAAAGGCGGGGTTCCCGGTGCCGATGGATTGAAGGACGACGAGGATACATCGGCCAGCAAGCCAGGTGGTGCAACCAACAACAAGAATGCGAAGCGTCGCGAAGCTAGAAAGAAGGCCAAGGCGACACAGGATGGTGCTACCAACGGCAAGGATGTGACTCGCATCGAGAACTGGCGTGCCGGTGCGCCCGAAGAGGCTAAGAAGCAATCGAACGGAGCCGAAAAGGACGCAGCGCAGACCGAGGAGGCAGTCGACCCTGAAGCAGAGAAGGAAAAGAAGGCCCGCAACTTGAAGAAGAAGTTGAGGCAGGCTCGCGACCTGCGCGACAAGAAAGCCCAGGGAGAGGCTCTTCTTCCCGAGCAGTTGGAGAAGGTGATCAAGATTCAGGAGCTGATTCGCCAACTGGACTCCCTCGGGTTCGATTCGAACGGAGACAAGAAGGAGGCCACCGAAGTGAAGGAGTAGAGGGAACTACCGATTCGCAGAAGTAACCGTACTTCTTATTGATCAGATCCTATTGTGCGACTTTCTGAAGGTGCTCCATTACAGCCATCCCGGTCACTGGCATCCATAAACGGCATTCATTCCGGGTCTCTGGTGACTTGATTGCTAGAGCATACCAATCCATACGACAGTCGATGCAGGAGTATCAAACCAGACTTTTGGAAGCAGCTCGGCTTCCTCAGCACTAGAGCCAAAGCGTATCAAGATATTCGCTACACGTCTTGGGCCTCGCGGATCTCTCGCCCGATCCACGATAGCCCTTCTCCCGACATAAGCCATCCGTGACAGTCTACCGAGGATGGCCTAATCCGGATGAAAGACATACTCTGTAACATTGTTACATTTTTACTGTGTTTTTATACTAGCTTCTCGCGGTACCAAATTGACATCTGGGATCACTACTAGCGATATCATATTCCCTTTCCTCCGCATAGTGCAGATAATCATACATTTGGTATCTTACATGCTAATATAGACATCAGAAGCCCGTGTAGGTCTGTCCTAGTAATGCTGACGCTCCGTAACGTGAACATTATCGAACCGAACCGGGGAAGTAGCTATGCCACCCTCCAGCTCCCAGTTATGGAAGTCATGCTTGGTCCAAGGTCGACGGCTGTTTCCAGGGCCAAGTTTCTTGGAGCCAACACCATACGACGAGGCTAGGTAACCTTGTCTGATGCAGTCCACTACGCCAATTCCCACAGTGCCATACCATGCACCAGCTAAGGTGAGCCGCTTATGAAAGTCACTCCGAACAGAATGCGAGAGCTCTTTCATGCGGGACAGGTGGCCAACTGTGTACTGGGGTATAGCATCGCGGAGCAACCGGGCGCGTGCCACAGACGGAGCCGTCTTGATTCCCAAGTGCCTATGAAGCAAGGCCTGGGCCATCTCAATTGCTTTATCCGGGTCAGGATAGTCGGACTCGCTCCAGCCGTCCCACAAATGGCCACCCATCATCACGGTGAGCTTTGTGCCGGGTGCAGTGTCCTGTCCTTCGCTGGACTGGGACCCGAAGATAACCCCCAAGGCCCGCTCGGGGTTCTGTTCAAAGGGAACCGAGCTAGGTAGCAGGTATCCGAACCCTTCAACTGGAACTAGGTCTGGATCCTCGTAATATAGGTTGACAACCATGACAGTCACTGCGTAGTTGTTCTGTCCTAGGTCGCGGATTGTATCAGAAGGTACGACACCCACCTTTGTGTTCTGTATCTGTCGAGCGAGACTCGAGGGCGCGTGGGTGGCAATTACACGGTTGTGAGTCTTTGACTCGTTCTTACCAAACCCGATCTACACTCATGTCAGCCTTCCAGTCCATTCGGTAGAAAAGAATGTAAGCTCCCACTCACGGTCAAGTCTTGAGTTTTCGGATTCTGGCCAAGCGAGGTTACTTCAGTTCCCGTCACAACTTCCACGTTTCTGGAACTCCGGAGCTGGGCAGCCATAGCATCTGTTAGTTGTCCCAAACCGTTCTTCAGCGTAAGAACGCTGGCATCTGAGACCACCGCACGCAGGCTCTTCCAGTAACGATCATCACTGTGGGATGGGACCGCCACCGATTCCAATGCCAACAACTCATCCATTGGCATAGCACGCATTTCTGACGCCCTCTGGGTCATCATGCCGTCCACTATAGATCCATATCTCTTCTCGAGTTCTCGTACATAGCCAATGGCCATTTCTGCACTCAGACGGTTTACGTCTCCCGCGAAAATGCCAGCCATGACCGCAGAAGCGAGATTCTCCGACATTTTGGGGGAGAACCGACGCGAAACAAAATCCGCGACTGATTCGTCACGGGAGAGAATGTGGGTATTTTCAGCTCTTTTTGGCTTCTCGAAGATAGCGCTATATAGAAAAGTCTCGAACAACGGCTCCATCAAAAGTGTCCAGGCTGTCTTGAGCAATCCCTCTGTGGGTGGAAATGGCAGGCGCACGAGATGATCGGGGTAGTAGATGTAACGATTTTGAGCTGCGGGCGATTTCTTGTCGCAGATCAGAACATCATCCAATAAATCCAAGTTCATTATCTGCAGCATTGATCCAGTATTGTTAGCCATAGGCAATCCACCGAGATGCTTCGATTGAAGCTAGTACTGGCGTCCTGGCTTACCAGATCCATCATGGGAAGGCACGAGGGACTACTCGTCCTCAAGGTGCGCGGACCATATTCGAAGACGACATGTCCTCCAGGGACAGGAATCTGCTCGGAGGAGAGCCAGCCTCCCAAATGGGAGGACTTCTCATAAAGCGTGACTTTGGAGCACGACGGGTCGCGCGATAGTTGGTAGGCCGCTGTGAGGCCGGTGATGCCACCGCCTATGACCGCAGCGTCAAACTGTTTGGTATGCACAGCGTGCCTCTGACCCCTGTGGAGCAGAGCCAATGGCGCTCGCACTTGCCGGAACGCACGGCTGGAAGCACATGGTAACCGCATGTTAGCGATAATGAAAGACACTGGGGCCAGCAACCAAGTGTCCAGGGTGGGTGCTCAACGGGGTGGAGGAAGCGGAAGAGCTGCGGAGCGGAGGGGCCGCTAGCAGAAGCTCCGATGGCCGACCGCAATAAAGAGTTGACGACCGGCATATGCACTCCAGTTACTACGAAGGTCCCCAACGACAAGATCACTATTACAAGGCTGAAAAGTACTACTCAACTCACTGACTAGGTCGTGCAGAACATAAGCAATCTCATGATATCCAGATTCTATTTACAAAGCCACCGTAAGTATTCTTTACTGCCATTGCCATGAACATAACATAAAGTAGATCGAAATTGAACGCCCTCCCAAGTAAGCACCCGCGCACACAAAATAATACATGAGATCTCTCCGGCATCATATGGGGAATTGGACAATGTGGAATCATCAAAAGAAATGTGGTCAGGTTGATCCAACGCTGGAATCTAAGTCGCGATCTCCTGACTCTGAGAACCTTCCCCGGCCGTGTCAGGCTTAATCAACTCTTCTGTACCCTCCTCCTCTGCAACAAACTTCCGTTCGCTCACATGCTCTTTCGAGCCCGGAGTCCACACCTTGTCGGAGAAGGCACCCTTTTGGCCCTCGGCATGCTTGTAAGGGCAGCTCGGATTAAGGCAAGGTGTGAATTTGCATGGGGTTTGGATGTGAGTAAACTTGCAGCCTTCCTGAGAGCAGTCGGCTCCATTCCGACAAAGGGGCATGCTGGGATGTTTGAAGTGACAATGAGGGTTGGCGCAGTTGGGGAAGAATCTGCAGAGCTCCTCCGCCTGATGCGCCGACTTGACGGCAGGTGAAGGGTGGCGACCTGTGCACTTGCGGTTCTTACAAGCAGCCCCGTAAGTGCAAATATCCGAAACGTCGACCGGAGAACCTTCGGGGGCGGCGGGCGACTGGTGTGCAAACGGGCAGTCCTTCCTGGTACACCGGAGGTTGAAGCGACAGACAGTGTTGGTATTGCTTTCATCCTGGCCCCCTTCCTGTCCAGCCTGATCAGGTTTCGTATCCATGTCAACATCTCCCGACTGCTCGTGATGGTTGTTATGGCGCTGACCGCGGTGCCGATGGCCATGCTGACGTTCGACTCGATCGAACAAAGACCGGCCATTTTGGGAGCCATTTTGCTGGAAAGCCGGGTTGATTGCCGGGGGAACAAAACCGGGCATAATCTGCGCCATCATACGAGCTTGCTCCTCAAGCAGAGACATGAGGTGCATCTGATCCGACTGAGTCATGTTCATCATGTTGCCCATATTCATTCCACCCATCTGACGACCACCGGGCATTCTGCCGCCTCCATTCTGATTGAAACGGCCCTTTCCGTGCTCGCGGCCGTGGGAGTTGACCCGTCCACCGCCAGCTTGACCGCGGACTCGATGTAAAGCCGAGTC